TTGCAGCGCTACCGCCTTGTGCCTTAGAGTCGGGGAGAGTTCGGGGGAGCCCGGCCCGCTGCTTCCGGCCGTGTGATGGGCAGGAACAGCGCGACCTCGAGTGCGGGCTCCCCGTAAACCCGGCCCCTGACGCGCATCCTCGCGCGCGCGGGCATCTGTCCGCGCAGCCGGGCAGTCTCGGTTGGAGAGCGGCTCGGTGCCTCGTAGTTGGTGTAGCGCTATTATTTTACTGATGTTGGGAAAGGAGGAGGAATAAAATGTGGGGTGGTCAGAGGCGTAGGTGTTTCCCAAGATCGCTTATCAGACTTCCGTCTGCAGCGACCGCTTGTCTTTGTCCAGGTGCCATCCGCTCAGTGAGACTTGCCCTGGTCTCAAAACTAGACCCTCTTACTCACTGCACCCAGCCCCCTTTTTATAATTTTATTTTTCTCTGTAGTAATTACCGTGTGATATATCACATATTTTATTCCTATTTTTTTGGTCCTGCCTTGACTGCATGAGAATGCAAGCTCCATGCGGGCAGGAATTTGGGGGAGCTTTATTTACTGTTGTGTTCCCAGCAGCAGGAATTGTGCCTGTATTGTAGTACCCAGGACATAGTGCGCACTTGTGGATCCGTCCAAGCCCGAAGGAAAGCACTGTGACTAGAGGAAAAGCTCCATCTTTTCCGTCCTGTAAGGCGGTGATGGCAAATTCAGAGTCTGGGTGCCCAAACTACGACCCAAAACCCACTTATTTATCACGAAGTCCCAACACTGCAATTAAATCCAAATACTGAGGTTTTAATTTAGAAAAACAACTCGTACATTAACATCTTTTGTCTTAAAAGAAAAACACAATAACAGAGCTTTCAATAATATAAACAGCTTTTTGTTGAAAGGTGTAAGTGCATTTGGCGTGCCTTTAATGTGATCTTTGGCACAATTCATGTAGGGTAGCAGAACAGCTCAGCCACAGCAGCTGAGCCTCTAACAGCAACCCCCCCACACACGCACACACGCACACACGCACACATGCACGCACACACGCACACACGCACGCACACACACACTTGCAGTTGGCACACTGCTACACCTAGACAGCCAAGTCTGATGGCCTAGATCAGTGATGGCGAAACTTTTAGAGACTGAGGGCCAGACTGCAACCCCAAATCCACTTATTTATCACAAAGTACCAACATTTCAATTAAACCTGAATACTGAGGTTTTAGTATAGAAAAAACTTATACATTGACATCTTTTGTTTTAAAAGGAAAACATAATAACACACGTGCCATAGGTTCACCACCACTGACCTAGATGGCAACCACTGTAGCAGAAATGGTTGTCAACCTCTGTTGTTGGGCACGTACTGGGTCATGTCATCTCTGGGGTCTTCAATGGAGGAAGTAATGCTGAGCCTCTTAGGCCTAAAATCACTTACTGTGAGCCCCAGGGAACCCAGGAGGCATAGCAACAGCAGTTTGATGACCCTTGCTTGTATGAGATAATACAGTTTTTGGAGTGACCCCAGATCGAGGGCGATTCTGAGCTCTGAGAGTTTCAGTGAGGTGCTGAAACAGTACACACTTGTAAGTGTGTAGTGTAATCAAGAAGGTCACATTGAAGAACTGGAAATTCTGCTCTGATGACCAAGTTATTTTAGCATAAAAATGTAACTGGTAGTGAAAATAAGTTAAAATGGTCTTCTGTTGATAGCTTTCTTGCTTCCAAAGGGCAGTGGAAAACTTTGACCCTAACCCCGACCTTTCCAACTATGTAGTAGTTCACTGAGATGGTGTAGAGTTACCGGCTGGGCAAATGTTTGTATGACCTGAAACCAGCTGTTCTGATGTTACCGTTTGAGAATTAATTAGAATAAACTGATTTCCTTCCAAAAACAAAATGAGAAAGGATTCAGTAGACATTCCTCAAAAGAAGTGGTGAATAAGCACATGAAAGGATATTCAACATCATTATGGACTAATCAAAACCACTGTGAGATAGGATTCACAACCATTAAGATAGCTGTAATAAAAACAGACATACAATAGGTGTTAATGAAGAGGTGGAGAAATTAGAACTCACATACGCTGCTAATTGGAATGTAAAATGGTGCAGCCACTGTGGAAAAGAGTGACAGTTCCTCAAAGTTACAAATTTGTGCTTCAAAGGCATTATCAAGGACAACTCAGAACAGGGGAAGACGTCTGCTAGTCATATTTCAGAAGGGAGTAATTTTCAGAATACTTGTAGAATGCTCCCAACTTAATACAAGGGAAATCTGGTTTTTTAACAGGAAAGTAAAAATAGTTATCCTATGACCCAGAAATTCTACTGCTAGATATATACCCAAAAGAATTGAAGACATGTGTTCACGTTAAAACGTGTACAGAGATATTCACAGTAGCATTATTTATATCGTTGGAATGGTAGATATAACCCATTTATCCATCAACTGGTGACTGATGAGTGGATAAACAAAATCAATACAGTTCAATGTTATACAGCCTTGAAAAGGAATGAAATACAAATCCATGGTACAACATGGGTAAATCCTCAAACCCTTGTGTGAAGTGAAAGGAGCCCATTTATCCAGAATAGACAAACTTAGAGAGTTATAAAATAGATTCACGGTTTCCAGGAGTTGGGAGAAAGAGGGATGAGGAATGATTACTAATGGGTGTGGGTTTTTTTTTTTTTTCTTGGCATGATGAAAATATTCTGGAAGCAGACAGTGGTGATACTTGAACAATCTTGTGAATATAATGAAAACTACTAAATTGTATACTTTAAGCAGGTAACTGTATAGTATGTGAATTACATCCCAATTTTAAAAAAAATATTTCCTAAATTCATTATTCTTGCTCCTAGAAATGTAAAGCTTTATTTCCTTTTTCCTTCATTTCTCAAAACCTATTGTTAAGCAATTCCAAATTATATTTAATGTTCTTTTTAAATTTACATCCCCAGGCAGTCTGGACTTTTCGCTGTTTGCCTGTAATGCCACACCAGCTCCTGCACTGACCCTCATGCTTCCAGTCCTGACTTCCCCATCCCTATACCTCATAGCAACTGATTCTCAGGAAGTTCCTGGAAAGATTTTCCTCAAGAGTTAAGTTTACTATGGTATTCCTCTGCTCAGATCCCTTCAGTAAAACCTACTGAGTGACCTGAAACATCTGTATATCTGACACATACCTGTCTACTATTACCATCTGCCCAGCTTTACTAATCTCATACCACCATTGGTCTTTCCCTGCCTGAACTAGCCAAAATCTTTCCAGCCCTTGGAATATGGCACAGCTTATTCCAGGGTCTGGAACACCCTTCCCTACAGTTTCTAATCATGGCTGGTTCTCTTCTTTCTTAAATGTCACCCTCTCAATAGATACCCGGTGGCTATTCTAACTGGTAAAACAAACCTGATCCTCATATTCTCTATTTCAGCGCTGTTTATTTTCTTAATAGCACTTATGGTGTGTTGCTTAGTTTTATTGCTTGTTCATGTTTTATCTTTAAATCTCTTTTTCCTGACTAGACTTTTGAGATGAGCCATATTAGTATGAATCGTTATTGTTTCCCTAGTGTCTAAGGCTGCACCTGTTAGGTCATAGCATTCAGTCCATATCAGCGATGATGAACCTTTTAGGGACCAAGTGCCAAACTGCAGCCCCAAACTCACTTATCTATTGCAAAGTGCCAACACTGCAGTTAAAGCTAAATACATACTGAGGTTTTAGTTTAGAAAAACCAACTCATACATTAACATCTTTTGTCTTGAAATCACAATAATACACATGCCATAGGTTCACCACGACTGCCACAGATGATAAGTAACTGATGTATAAATTACATCTTTTTTGGTAAATTATTGCTGGACACGTGTTTCTTTCGGAATTTAGCATTTTAAGATAGAAATTCCTTCTTACAGTGTATTTTTATTCATTTGGCCCAAGAAACTCCACTATTGATGTTTCATCTCCTTGAAAAAAATGTTACATTTATCTTACACCACTTTGATTATTGATGATAATATTTTTGTTCTTCATGCAGAATGATGGCTGCTTTAGTACTTCAGGTGGAATTCATCCTTTTCAACTTCAAAACTGGAAGCAGAAAGTTAGTCGAACAAAGAAAGCGGAATTCATACGCACAGCAGAAAAATTTAAAAATCAGTAAGTGTAAGTTTTATAATGGACAATTTAAAATTAGTTCAATTCCACTCCTCTCAATCCCACATTGTTAGAAAGTTCTAGTCATCAGCCAGTATGTAACAAGACACAACAGAACAAATGTAGGAAGTATAAAATGGACAAATGATAATAGGCTGCTTAATATAATTTTAAGTAAAGTAGTTTGAATTTTATCCATTTTACCACTTTTAATCAGTGTATTTCAAGGAAAACAAAACAGCTATTTGTTTAGATTTTTTTTTTAATCTAAAAAGATTTAGTACATTTGTATTTTATTGCTATATATTAGTACTAACATATTTTTGAGTGAAAAGTCTTTTGGGGCTTTAAAACATACATTATGAAAGTTTTATAAATGACATTATTTATCTTACTATTCTGTATATTTTACAAATGAGGATGTTAAAGATTATAGAGAATAAATATCTTCCCATAAGTTATATAATCAGGAAATGTTTAATTTTACAGGCCACCTCCAGCCACTCTGAAAGCCATAGTTGTTGTTCTAACCCGTGATTTCCTTCAGTAGCGCCTGTTTGAGTGTGTGGATATGATCTCACTAAGGAAAGTAGTAAATAGTTTTGGTGAAAAGGCTGTACTCTTGAGGGTTTTTTCTTTAATGGTCTTTTAATTGATCTTCATCCTTTGGTCTCTGCTCTTCTCAGATCCAATTTATACATCATGATGAGAGTAAGTTTACATTTATCTTAAAATTGTAGTGTATAGTATATGAATTTTTTCCTTAAACAATCGGCGATATTTATTGACTGCTCATTTTTGTCAGCAGCATCATGATGGTAAATATCATAAGCAAATGACTAAATGATTAGAACTCAGAGCACCTGCTCTGTACCCTACTGTTGAGACATTTATAAAAATACTATAAATTTATACCCTGTAAATTTACCAAAGAACTTGAGAAAGGAGGTCACTATGCATGATGGACTCTGGAGCAGAATTAATGGAAGTTCTCTTTAGAAGTTCTACCAATGAAAAAGTATACCGTTTTTGAATTTTGATAAGTTTTACCATGTTGTAGCTTTTGAAGACTGAATGCTCACTGCATGTATATAATACTTGTATCTTTTCTCTTCAACTTTATTGAAGTATAATTGACAGATAAAAATTGTGTATATTTGGGATATATAAAGTAATATTTTGATGTATGTATATTGAAAGATTGCCACCATTAAGCTAATTGACATATGCATCACCTCACCTACTTACCATGTGTGTGCATGTGTGTGTGATATGAATAAAATTCTACTCTCTTAGCCAAGCATTTTCATTATACTACATGTGAAATCTAAAAAAGTTAGACTTAAAAGGCAGGTGAGAATGTTGATTAGCAGGAAGGGTTAAGAGTGACAGGAATGGGGGAATGTTGGTAAGGGGTACAAGTCATGAGACAGATAAGTTCTCAAGACCTAAAGTACAGCATAGTGACAACAGTTAATAATAGTGTGTTTTATACCTGAACTTTGGTAATGTTTATCTTTTTAATATCCAGAATCTGAGAATATACTATTTGATTTATTTTTTTATTTCCAGAATGCATTACTCTAGATAGATTGTGGGTTCTGCTTTATATGGCATGATACCCACTAAATAGTTAAGGTCCATATATACAGCAACTCATTGTGTTTGCTTTATTGTACTGATTAGGCTTTAGAAAACTCTTTGAAATAGTGTTTCAATCCTCATTAAATACTGAGGATAAAACACAGTTTGTAATATCATTCTGTTTTATTTTGAGCGTAGATAATACATTCATATTGCTAAAAAAAAAATGGAAGGTCTCAGTTTCACCCTGATCTCAGGCACATAGTTTCTCTTGCCTCAAATAACCAATAGTATTGTAGTTTGTTTTGTATTCTTTCACAGATATTTTCTGTTTTAAGGAAATCAAACACAAAAGCAGTAGAATTACTTTAAAATGTTTTAGCCAAGCAAAAAAATTTTTGCAAAATATTTAAGCAAAGAGGTAGAAAATTGCTTTTAAATATTTAAGCAAAGAAAAAAAGGAAATGATAAAAGGAGAAATACAATTGTTGACTCAAATATGAGGACATATGAGAGTATATGAGGGGGATTTATTTACCTTTCTTGATTTAGGGCATGTCTGACATTTTCATATAAAAATTTTATTATAAAAAGAATGTCATCTTGAAGCTTTTCTGATCAGTATACAAAACATAGTACCAGTACATTATATTCCCTTATGGTATGATTTATTTAACCTTTTCCATAGTGATGGTGCATTTAAATTATATTCAGTCTTTTGTTTTAACAAACAATGCTGCGGTTAATTACAGTGTCCATATAAGTCCCCATTGTTTTGCACGTGTGTGAATGAATCTACAGGATAAATTCCTAGAAGACAATTATGGGTCAAAAGTGTATGAATTGCCAAAGGTGATCAGTATTGCTGAATTACCTTTTATAGGTAATTTACAATTTCAGTCACAATGTATGATAGTATTCCTTCTCTCACAGTTTCAACAGAATATATTGAGTATATTACATATAATTTTACTTAAATTTGTGATTTTTTTGTTTTTGTCAATCTGAAAGGTGTACAGTATATAGTTTGAATTTGCATTTCTTCTGTTATGAGTAAGATTACATTGCGCAGTTTTTCTCCATTAGCATATTTTGAATGTCTATAAAGGTTAATATTCCTAGCCCAGGAATAGCAACATATAAATTACTCTCATAGCATATTCTTTACACATGGCAAACATGTCTATTTGGTTATAATAATATCCCCACCCCACCCAGTGCCTAAATGGGCTTTCCAGTCCTTAACACAAGATATCAGTAGCCATCTTCAATCTGCTGCCGTTGGCAGTATATCTCTTGCCACCTTTCAAACCACACAAGCTTCTTCAATTAAGCTTGAGCTAAGATATAAACCCATGAGCCTGTAGGGTGTGAAACGCTTTCTCATCTGTTTCCTCTAGTATGCCTAATAAGTGTAAAATTTTTCTCTACCTAGTAAGGTGAAAAAGACTAGGAAGCTACCTTACATAGTTGTACCTCGCGTTCTGTGAAATTATATCTGTGGCCGGAGACACTCCACCACTCATTAAACCCAGGATTGGGGAGAAATATTCATATCAATTTTTGCTTGATCGTAGAAATAAAACAACTATTGAGAACATTAATTTTGTTGCCCAAACAACAAAAAGAATGTTGTTATTAGTATATTTTTTGTTTTATTTTACAGAAGGATCAAACTAACAATTAGAACTCGTTACTAGTAAATGGTCTGAATCCAACAAACCAACTATAAGATAAAAGATGCTTTGAATTAAATGTAGGCAACATTCCTTAAATATACTGTTTCTTTTCTTTGTAGATTGTTTGCCTCTTGAAGTTTTAGTATTAGTAATATCACTACTGAGACAGAAGGACTGCAAGTTCAGGCCCAGTTTGGGCAATTTAGCAACTTAACAATACCATCTCCAAAAATAAAAATGGAGTTGGGGTCTGGGGATGTAGGTTAGCCCAAAGGCCCTGGATTCAATCCCCAGTACCACAAGTAATAATATTAGTAACTTGCATTTCCCCAGTAGAAATATACACATTGTACAAAGGTCCCTCACATACAGTATCTCCTTTGATGTTAACTATGCTCTGCCAGGTAATTGTGAGCTGTTATTACTGTTAGTAATGGAGAAGGCCACTACAAGAGAGGTTAACATCTTTGCTAAGGTTACAAAGTAAATAATATGTTCTATTGAAAGCAGTCATCAGCAGTGACAGCCCTCTTCAGACCCTTGGAAGACTGAGTTGGAATGCATACCCAAAGGCTTGTATAGTTTCAAGAGAAGGACGTTACCACATTTTTCCTGTAACATTTCTTTAACATTTTATAATTTAATAGTTAAATTGTACTTGATTTTAGGTGAGTTTAACTCTTTCCTATTATTTTGACTATTGTTTTTGTTCATAGCCTCTTTAATCTAAATAATTATATTCTTTCTCTTTAAGTGAAGTAATAATCTGAAGTACTGATTCTTATGAGTTCCTTTCTATTATAAATAACTAAAAATACTTATACCATTTCTTTTCCTAAAGAGTTATTACGATGGAAAAAGATAAGCACAGTCATTTCTACAACCAAAAAAATGACTTCAGAATTGAGCATAGTATGCTGGAAGAATTGGAAAATAAATTGATTAACAGCAGGAAAATGGAAAGTAAGTTGATGTCTGAGTTATATAAAGTTATAGTTTTGCCCTGCCTTTGTCTTTGTGCATTGACTGTGTTACATTCTCTATCAGGATATTTTAGTTGATAATAAATTTGTCTTGGGACAAATTTGTGTTATTTTCTTCAGGTCATTGTTTAGTCTTTCTAACTGGATTGCCTTCTACTTGTTGCAATTTAGTGAGAAAGACAGAGAGAATTTGGGGTTCTTTGATTGACAAATCAGTAAATGCTATTAAAATTTCATAATAGAAAAGCAAACTGGTTCCTGGTTCTTAATAGAAAAGCAAACTGGTTCTGTCAGCCTGGTATTGTTGACTGAGCTCTGGCCTCTTAAACATCAGTAGACTCAGAATCTATACTCCGTAGCTACATGAAGTGATCACAACATGTAATTGCTTAAATCCAGGTTCCCTCTGCTGGCCTCTGAAACAGCAGAACTGTCCTCTGCATCTGATAGTATACTGAATGCTACTCCTTTAAGAATACTAGATTCTCCAGGCGTGGTGGTGCATTCCTGTAATCCCAGCACTCAGGAGGCTGACCTAGGAGGATCGCTGGGAGTTTGAGGCTAGCCTGGGATACATAAATGAGTTCAACGCCAGCCTGCACTACTACATAGTGAGACTCTGTCTCAAAAAAACAAAAACAAAAACAAAAAACCAAAAAGAATACTAGATTCTATATGTTGCAAAATCCTTGTAAGAAAAAAGCTCATTAACATTGCTTTATAACATGTTGTAACTTTGTAACATGTTGACTTATATGTAAAGATTAGATTGTTCCTGGTACTCTCATACTGGCAACCAAAAGAAATTCTTAATTTTTTTCTTTCAGAATATAAAATTACACTATTTTTGAAAAGTGATCTGTTGTCGTATAGTGATAAGCAGTATTCTCCCTCTTCTGTTGCAGTGATAACTGGGGCTAACTTAAGTACCACATTTATAATTCTCTGCTCTGATTTATAAACTACACCTTCCTGATCTAATATTTGTTACTGTCCCTCAGTTCTTTTGCACACAATTGGGAGGCTGGTTTTTCGTTTAAGAGGACTGTATTATCTAATATAAAGATACAGAAGCTTTCTTTTCAGTTCAGAATACCTGTTTCTTATATCAAATGTTGTGTCTCAGTTTTAGACTGAATTATATCTTGTTATGCTTTGTGGCTTGGCTATACCCTTCTCTTCTTACTTTTTCTTTTTCCAGAGAAGGGAAGTTTCAATTCTACATAAACACAAAATAAGACTGGTTTGCCCTGTATTGATACTGCTGTAGTTTATGAAGCTATGGCAAAAATAAAACAACAAAAAACATTTTATAATTATTTAACTTTTCTAGACAAGTTTGTTGCCCTGCAGATCCAGCAGTGAGCAAGGTTTCATTTGGGCATACCTCAGTGGTCGAGCTCTCGCCTTAACATGTATGAGGCCCTTGGGTTGGATCCCTAAGCATCACTAAAACAAAAATCTTTAAGGACTATTTGTAAAAAGTTGTAAAATTAAAAAAGATGAGGATGTATAAAGTACCCAATGGTAATAAAATAATACTGCTATTATATGAATATATATGAATGTGAATATTTTTAACAAACCTACTGATTGGAATAAGTATTAAGGTGAAGTTACTATGCCAGAAAAAAAAAATAAGAGAAGAATCTAGTCTATTTTGCTATTGAGAAAAACTATCTGAAAATGTCTGAAAACTTTATCTGTTTGTCAGGCTTTTAAGTTGGCCCTTTGGTTGAGGTTTGCTATTTGTGGAATAGATACCACCTAATGGCACATGAGAAATCTCAGGGCCATGTTGCTGACACCAATAGATATCACTCACTCCTATCTTAGAGGGTGTATTCAGATAAAATTAATTCTCCGTGGGAAGTTTGTCAGTATTCATAAAAGTAATACTGCTTAGACAGTCTTGATATTCCCACAATAAAGATAAAATAAAATTTTATTCCCATAAACTATCACAAATTAAAAAGAAATGATTTTAAAGAACAAAACATACTAAAAATAAGCTATGGTATTTAAAACCAAATCCAGTAAGTAACTAAATGCCCACAGAGAAAAGGAAAATTCCTTGCCACAAATTTATAGTGAGATTTAATCCATTGTGCTTTCCAAACTTGAAGAAATGAAAGATGCTTTATTTAAAGTAAGAATGTTTAATTGTTTTTGACATAACTAACCATTTTTTCTTTAATTGTTCCTGGCTATCTTTTACTAAGTGATTATGATCAATCTTACATAGAAAATTTTAATTATAATCATATTTGTCACACAGTTATTTTAAAGTATATACTTCTTCCCTATAGGAGCAAAAATCCAGCAACAGTTAGCCAAAATACATAACAATGTAAAGAAACTTCAGCATCAGTTAAAAGATGTGAAGCCTACACCTGATTGTAAGTAAATTTAAATGTTAGAGTCTTTCTTGTATATCAGTATTTTCTGTTGCTCAATAGGAGAATTTATACTTTTCTAGTATGAGACATGTCTGTTTTTCTACTTGACATCAATGGAGCTCTACTCTGTTGACTACTGATTAGTAAGGATATATTGGAGAACTGTAGTATCAGATGTTTATGTGGGTTTTTTTTTTGTTTTGTTTTTTGGTTTTTATCTTTAAAGTACTAACAAATCCTTTAAAACTATAAGGTAGACAGAACAGATATGGTCATTTTTAAGATGGAGACTGTAGTACATTTGATCTTAGCCAAAAGGCCGAGAAGCGATGAGACTGTAGTACAGAAAGTTTCAGATTTAGCTAACTAAGGAGGAAAAAAGACTGATGTCCTAGCTGAATGCTTTTCCTATTGTTTGATTTTTGAAATAATTACTTTTCAGACACATTTCAATTATATAAGGAAAGTTTCAGTTGTACGTATTGAGGCAAATGCTAATTTTTGGAGACAGACAAAACTGTATCTTTGCCTCCTTGCTTACACTAAATTTGTTCCTGAAAATTCAAAGGAATAAAGTACTCAAGCTGTATGGACTTACACAGATGTTGGCTCAAACCCTTGATCACTCACTTACTAATTTTGTCATTTTTAAGCAAATTATAGTAATGCCTTGGTTCATGAGTGCTTCTGTTTGCAAACAGTTTGATTCACAAACAAAAGCTTTCAGCAAAATTTTGCTTCCCTTTGCAAACCCAGCATTGGGTGACAAACACAACCACACCCATCTTCCCCAAAACTATAAACTGAAGTAAGTTTGTGAACCAAGGTACCACTATAGATCTTGATCTCTTGGCACTTTCACTTTAAAATGGAGATCGTAGGATTTATATAATAGGCCTGTCGGAAGGCCTAACATAGGAAGCACTAAAACTGTGAATGTGAATATTATACTCATTAAATTAAATGAAACCATAAAAATACTAGAAGAGAATATAGGGTAATATTTTTATAATAGCACTATGTTTTATAGGATGGATAAGATCAGAAAATACGACAAAAAAAAGTGAGCATATTTGGTTACTTAAAAATACTTAAACCTATAAGCAAAATTGAAAGACACATTAGAAAAAGGTTAACTATATTTATATATGTAATTAAAAATGTAAATATATGGCCTATAAGTCAGAGTAACGAACATAAATGACCTAATAGAAAAAGGAAAGATTGTAGGGGGCCAAAGTGTAACAAAAGAAATATAAAACACATATGAAAAATGCTCAGGCTTATTAATCATCACCAAAATAGTAACTTAAGGATGATAAATTTTTGTATCTTGTTTTGGGAATGTTTAAAAGTACATGGGAAGGGTCACTGTGGGGAAAATGTGAGAAGTGGTAGTTTCTAAAATGCAATGTGGTAGTATCTAGCATATGGTACAGTGGATATACATTTTATTTAACATTTCAAGTTTACCAGTTATTCTCTAAAAATGCTGCAATATGTATGAGGGATTTTTACTATAGCATTTTACATAGTTAAAGGTTCATCATTGGAGAAGGGATTAAATGAATTAGGATAGGTTTAAACAATGAAATAACATATGTAGCCATAGAAAAAGGAAATGCTATGAATATTTATATTTAACCACATTGTTAAATAAAAACTACAAGTCAAGAATAGTATATTTAGTACAAAATATTTTTTGTAAAAACATTAATTATAATATTTATTGAGAATGGATACATTAGAAAAAAATTTGTGATCATAAAAATTGCAATTATAAAAATTTACATTTAGCCTGGTTGGTGGTGCATGCCTAATATCCCAGTACCCTGGGAGACTGAGGCAGGAGGATGAAAGTTTGAGCCCAGCCTGGGCAAGTTGGCAATTTAACAAGATCTGCCTCAAAGTAAAGAGCATAAGGGCTGTAGCCCAGCACGAAGGTCCTGGATTCAACCCCTAGTACCACAAGGAAAAAAATATAATTTTGAGCACAGTTAACCTTAATTACTCAGGCTAAGAAATATTTTTAAATTAGAGGGACATTCCATGTATTTTTCTTAATTTTGAACTCAGCTATATTGACATATGACATAAAATAATTTTTTGGGTTTTTTTACAGTTGTTGAAAAGCTCAGAGAAATGATGGAAGAAATTGAAAATGCGATTAACACTTTTAAAGAAGAGCAAAGATTGATGTATGTTTCAAACTCATTTTAATATAAAATTAACATTTCTCAATAACTCACCACTAGGTTATTTTATACAAACATTTTATTATGCATTTGAGTCTTACATAAAAGCAATATAACACCCATTTTTGCCTTAGGGTTTATGTGGCTTTTTAATGTTTAAAGTAAATTTTCAGTCATATTTGGACACTATAAAATTCCAAATAAGAATTTTAAGATTATTTTGATCTCAGAGGGAACTTCTTAAGGCTTCAATTTATAAATATTAATAATGTCAACTGAAGAAGATAGAGTGAAAAATCAGGAATAATTAAATTTGAAAGAAATTGAAGGGTTAGTATGGATTGGCTGATATCTTTTTAAACTTTTTTTTAAATTACAGATACGATGAGCTTATTAAAGAAGAGAAAACAACAAATAATGAATTGAGTGCCATATCAAGAAAAATTGACACATGGGCTTTGGGTAATTCAGAAACAGAGAAAGCTTTCAGAGCAATCTCAAGCAAAGTTCCTGTAGACAAAATGACACCAAATACTCTTCCAGAAGCAGTGATAGATTTTGAAAAATTCCTTCAGCAAACAGGAGGGCGACAGGGGGGCTGGGATAATTATGACCACCAGAACTTTGTAAAGGTGAGAAACAAACATAAAGGGAAGCCTGCATTTATGAGAGAAGTTCTAGAGCACCTTCCAGGAAGAACGCAGGATGAAGTTCAACAGCATGAGAAGTGGTATCAAAAATTTCTGGCTCTAGAAGAACGAAAAAAAGAGGTAATAATAATTATAATAGCTGTTACTCCTCCGTTTTTGTTCTAGGCACTGTGATAAACTGTGAGAACCACTGATTTTGCAGCAACTCCGTGATGTGTGTGTATAGTTGTTTCTACTCCATCTTACAGAGTATGAAACTAAGACTTCAAGAAGTTAAATAATCTTATCCAGGAAATGGAATTGTAGTCGGATTTCCTCGAGGCCAGATACTTCTCCCCCAAGAAATTTCACGATAGGCTATAAACTGTGGGCAAAACCTTCTGTGGTCACTTTCTATAACTGTGGCTAACTTGAATGTACTCAGGCTTTAGGAAAAATTTATTTTACCAGCAAAAAACTCATTATTTTGATTAGAAAATCAAGAAGCAGTACAACACTTTGACTACAGAGTTTCTTTGATGAAGCTGGAGTTGTAGCTCAGAGGTAGAGCACTTGCCTTAGCAAGCATTGGCACAGAGTTCCATCCCCAGCACAACCCCCAGCCCCAAAAAAAGTTTCTCTGAAATTTTTGAGCTCAGCTTTATTGCTTAAAGATACAAACTTTTGGCCACCATGGAGAAGACATAATCCTTGTAGTAAATACCTGAAAAGTTTCATTTTCACAAAAATACTAGTGTGGCTCTTGTTAGGTTAGGATTTCTCCACCTTAGCACTATGGACATTTTGGACTGGACAGCTGTTTTGGTGGGTGTTCTATATGCTATAGAGTGGTGAATTGCGCCTCTGGCAGGTAGCCGCTAGATGTGTGTAGTACTCCTTCTGATTACCAGACTATCCCCAGACATTGCCAGAGTCTGAGTCTTTTGACTGTACTTACCTGTTCAACAGATGACATACCTAGAGCGCTAAGGAAGTACTAATTCCATGTTTAAAGTTTTAGAAAAAGTAGCTTGTTCGTTGTTGTCATTGTTTTCCATCATCTGAAATAAGCTGACTGTGGGGAGATCGATTTGGGGGGTTTTAAGAAATACTTGTGAAATATGAGTCATTTTTAAAGGCTCAAAGTAATAAGCTACTAAGAATTGAGTTTTTCTTCTGGGATACAAAAACATGGGTTTCTTTTTATTTGGCCCCCTAAATCAATCACCATCACCTGGAAACTTGTTAGAAGGTACCAGGCCCAAACCTCTAGACCTAATCAGAACTTGGGGGCTGCTTTACCAAGCCGTCAGGGTTACTTCTTCCACGCTTGCATTTGAGAACTCCCTCTCTAGAAAAGGGGACAGCATTACTTCTTGTAATAAAAGTAAGCCACACCAATTCCTAATTATTCTGTTCCCAACCATTCTTATTTCTTGATACTTGACAACTAATTGGATGTAAGACTGAGGTAGAAGGGGTATGGAAAAGGAGTTGCCAGTCTACTGAATTGGGACATACTAGAGAGGAAAGGTTAGAGAAAATAGCACAAATTCAGTTTTGAGTCCACTGAGGTTAAGATACTGAATTAGAAATTTACCATGTCTGTCTTTCACTTCCTTTAGAATATCCTCTATTTTGTGTGAATGAAGATACTTACCAAATAAGATACTTATCTGAGCTTGCCAAGTGCCTTTGACACGTTCTCTTTCTATACCACCTTCTTCCTTTCTGACTCCCAGCTTAATGAAAATCTTCCCAGATCAGATCCTGCCTTCTTTTTGCCACCCCCAAAAGTAGTCCCCCTTGGCCTTTCACTAACACTATGTTTATACCTTTTCAAATGATGTGCTGTGGAGTGCCTATGTTGTTATCTTACCTAGAAACAGTGCTGCTCAAACATGGTGTGACAAAACATGTTGTTTTGTAGACTGTTACTGGTCTACGATGAGATGAAGTAATTGCATGACCACTATCTAGTAAGCACATTGTTAGTTCTTTTGACTTTTTCAACAAGAAAACTTGTTGAAGAAAGCAGTGCACTGATTCATGTTTTGACATGCAAACCTGTTTTTTTTTTTTTTCCCCTCCGGTACCAGGAACTGAACTCACGACCTTGCGCTTGCCAGGCAGGCGCTTTGCCGCTGAGCTAAATCCCCAGCCCGAAATCCTGGTTTTTAGGGATTGGTGTTTTGAGTAGCCGTGCACTACAGGGCATTTTACATTATTTAATTACCTATGCATTCTATCACACTGCCGTGCATATATATAGTTTACTGAATGGATGAATGATATCCCATAAGTAAAAAAGAGGAAACAGTTTTTAATTTTGGGGAATGGTAATATATCCGCTGTGGCATAGAGAAGGTCACTTGAATTTTAAATAATTTTTACATATTATATACAGTTCTTGAGCTATTTCAAATACACTTGTGAAAAAGCATTTATGTGCAAGAAGTTCTCCAACTACTTTACAGAGAGCCAAACTGAGGACAAAGTAGGTTAGTGACTTATCAGTGGTCATACTTAGTAAATGGATTTGATCCTGAATAGTCTGGCTTCAGGGATTGTGCTCTTAACTACTCCATTTTTAATTCCTTTTCTGATACATGACCAGACAAAGATCAGTCAGAAAGTATTCTAAGCCTAGAAAGAGAATATGGATGGTTAAGTGAAATGATTGGAGGAAAGGGATGTTGCCCATAAAAACAAAGCAGGTAAAGAGAAGACTATTTCATAAGAACAGAAGTAGATAAAGGATTGTGTTTGTTCAAAATACAACTTAAAAACCTAAGGATCCACAATCCTATAATAGTTTTCCTTCTAGAAAAATGGAATTGAAGTTTGGATTATTTAAAAACTTTCTTTTGCTAACTTTTTAAAAAAATCATTTAGTCTATTCAGGATTGGAAAACTAAAAAGCAGCAAAAGAAGCAGGAAATTTTCAAGTTAAAAGAGAAGACAGACAACGTTCCTGTGCTTTTTCATAATAAACCAGAAGGTAATCAAAAGCAAAAAGAAGAAGAAAGAAAGAAACAGAAGTTGGCAGTTGAAGCTTGGAAAAAACAGAAACGTATAGAACTATCGATGAAATATGCTTCTAAGTTAAAAGAAGAAGAAGAGAAAGAGAAAAAGCAGCAGAAAGAACGCCAACGCCAGCTTAAACTAAAATTACTACTAGAAAGTTACACCCAGCAGAAGAAAGAACAGGAAGAATTTCTAAGGCTTGAAAAGGAGATAAGGGAAAAGGCAGAAAAGGCAGAGAAAAGGAAAACTGTTGCTGATGAAATTACCAGGTTTCAAGAAAGAGTGAGTAAATACACTTCCTAAATAAAGTTTAAATGCTACAAAAGAGGTATTTCCAGATTCAGGTCAGTAAAAGTAAACCAAAGGCATCCTATACATCAGACCTGTGCGTAATAGCATTACCATATCAAAATGAGTAAGCCACGCCCCCTAACTTCTAGTCAGCTATAGTCTAGTGAGAAAGATACATGCAAGTAGATTTCAGAAGAAAGAGGTAAATAGTATGGTGTTTGAGGTGTGGACCAGTACTTTAGAGGTGGATATACAGAGAGGAATGCTTAACACAGCTCTAGGTTAGAAGGTAATGAGTTGATTTTTGAAAGAGAAAAAGCAGAAGAAAAGATCTTTCCTAGTAGAGGCAACAACATGAATAACTGCTTAGAAGAGTGGAACAGCCTGGTTTGTGGGGGAAAGTATGCACTTTTAAATATTCTTAGAGCACCAAGGGAGAGAAGGGAACTAGTAACAGACAAGGCTAGAAAGGCTGCCACAGGCCAGGCCAAATGTCTTGTCTTCTCTGCTACATGTCATACCTGACAGAGTGGCTCACTTTATGCAGTACAGGAGTTGCTTATTTGTTCTCTGTTTATCTCCACACTGTAAAGGAAGTTCCACAAAGGCAGAGGTCTTGTGTTTTTCTGTTTGTTCTTGTCAGAAGCAATGTAGATACTTGTATACTTAAACAACTGGGTAGAAGGGTTATTGGTCATTCAAACAAATGTATGCAAGAAAAATATTAATAAAGACAATGGAAGTGAATCCAAATAGTATGAAGCGAGGCAAGGAAGGATATTTTAAGATGCAAAAGGAGGCAGGTAAGATATAACTGTTATGAATTATGTGCATCAAAATATGTATCAGCAACATTCATAAAGCAAAAGTAAGAGAGATATTAAGAAAAATAAATAAAATACACCAATGGTGGAAATTTTAGTTCATTTCTTTTATTGCATATATAAAAATACTCCAGAATAACAAAAGATTCCATGCCACCTCATCACACAAGAAGATAAGCAGGCTACATAATTAAAAGACTTAGAAAAAAGAAAACCAATAAAACAAAATATAAAATAACTTGAGAGATTTAAAGCTATACCTATCTGTATTGATAAATGAAAATGGACTTATCTATTAAAAGAATTACAGTTTTTTGTTTTATTTTGTTTGTTTTTTTCTGGTACCGGGAATCAAACTCACTACATTGTGCTTGCCAGGCAGGTGCTGTGCCGCTGAGCTAAATCCCTAGCCCCAAGAATTACAGTTCAATTAAACTTTACAGTGAAACATGTAATACCTAAAAGAAAGTGATACCTGAAAGGATGATGTGTTGGTTATATTTAGAGAATATGAAAGTCTTAGCCTTTGTTAGAAAAGGTTAATAGTGAAGGAATACTAATAGTTAATTTTATTTACAAACACTAAACATTGAAACAAATTTTAGTTTTATTTTCTTAATGTAATCTTTTGGTTTTTTTAGGATTTATATAAACTTGAATTGAAAGTTCTAGATAGACAGGCAAAAGAAGAAGAAAAGGCAGAAAAGCAAAGAAGATTGGCAAAATTAAAGGAAAAGGTACTTTGTACTGGGATTATTTTTGTCTTTTAAATTTATTTTTTAATTGATACAAAAACATAAAACTTTCACATATTAATCGGATACTATGTGATACTTCAATACATATAAAAAGTGTAATGTTTAAATCAGGTTAAACATACCTACTCCTCAAATGTTTATCATTTCTTTGTTATAAAAACATTAAAAAGTCTTTGTTACAGTTTTTTGAAATACACAGAACATAATTTTTATAGTTACCCAATATACAATAGTCACCAGAACTTCTTACTTCTAACTATAACGTAGCCCCTTCCCTTACTGCTGGGACACTTGCAGCATACAGGAGGAAGGTTTATTTTGGCTCATAGTATGCAGAGGTTTCAGCCCATAGCCTGCTAGCTGCATGGCAGGACAGCATGGCAGAGGCACATGGCTGAGACACGTGGCTGGGGAGAAGCAGAGGTAAACCTTTCTAGGCGACAGTGGCCCACCTCTTTAGACCAGACCCACCTCTGAACAGCAAGCCAGGTATAACTCCCCATAATCCAGTTACCTTTCAAAAGTCCTGCTCAAAGGCTTTGAGGGGGAAGCTACAAGGTATAAACCGTAATAGTAACCATTGATCAGCCTGTCTTCATGTGTCTCCTGCTTATCATAATTCCTTAATTTGTAAGAATACTGACATCAAATGTATTCTTTCATTTCTATATCTGTTTTAAATTTCATATTTATTTATATGTTGGAAAGCATACAGTATAATTTAAGTGATTATTGTTTGAATCTTACCATTTTACATTATAAGCACCCTTTTCTTTCACCCTGACTTCTCTCTCTCTCTCTCCCTATTCATCATTTCTTTCATTCTTTCTATATGAACCTACATTTTACATGTGTGGTAGTTGTGAGCATTGTTTCTCACTGGTAATACTCATAACTAAAAATGTTGTGACCATGGATTAAGCCTAGTATTTACTGGTGGTTATATATCCTAAATGTATTGTCTGGCTATTATACTTAGCTATATTAAATTTCTCTCGTAGCAGAAATAGAATAAAATAATAGAACTAGAAAAAAATAATCATTTATTAATAGGTTGATGTAGTCCAAATTTTATTTTAGCTATATGAGTACAATTACAAGTTTACTGAATAAATTGACAGTTTTATTAGTGTTTACCTGATACCAAATGTGCTTTTAAAAACTGCTTTCTAATTGCAGGTTGAAAATAATGTTAGTAGAGATCCCTCTAGGCTTTACAAACCTACCAAAGGTTGGGAAGAACGGACCAAAAGCATAGCACCAACAAGCTCTAGGCCACTTCTACACATCCCACACAGGTAAAAAGGAGTTAAAAGAGGGGTATTCACTTAACAGAAACTTCATAATTGCATGTTTATATTCCATGCAGCTTGTGTATTTTACAGTAACAGACTGAAAAAGCAAATAGATACATAAATATATGTATACATCCACACATTTTTAACAGTTAACATTTAATCAGATAGGTTTGAGTCTTGTAAAAAATTTTCCTACATATTTGTAATTGTTTTTCTTTTCTTCTCCTTAGGGCTATTCCAACCTGGAGACAAGGAATTTAGAGAAAAATATGAGATAATGGAATTGCTATTCATTTGATGGGAGTATTAGCATATTCAGTAATACCAGGAGAGTGTGACCACCCATATTCTTTTAAATTTCACTAGCCTAGTAGGATTGATTATTGTGCTGTATGTAAATTGAGAGGTAGTGTAAGTCTCATGCTACATTATCTTTAATGGTTCCTGTTTCTACTAAGAGGGCATTTAGGGTATATGTTGGCCTGTTATTGATATATAAAGGTTATTTATATAGGGGCTGGGGATTTAGCTCAGCGGCACAGCACCTGCCTGGCAAGCACAAGGTCATGAGTTTGATTCCCGGTACCAGAAGAAAACCAAAAAAAAAGGTTATTTCTATAAATTTATGTTACAAACATTATCTGTTTAAATACCCAAAGCATTTCAAAGGTACTTTGTTTTTGTCATACCATAGCAAAATAAATTGAAGCAGTCATAGACAGGCATTTTTTAAACCAAAATTTTTGTAACTTTTGTAACTTGGAAGTAGTTAGCTTGAATAACAAAAATATGTCTTTTGTTTTTAAGAGTTACAAAATAACTTAGTACTTTTTCTAAGTTTAACAAATTGGTAATTTGTCAATTATTACATTTTTGTGTAATATTTTGTATTTGAAGCATGCTTGTTTTAAATAGAGAATATTTATTTTAAAAATATATCTCATATATCCTGTTAATTTTATTATTGTTGTCATCTTTTTGGTTTCCTTCAGCTATTCTAAATGTCCTTTTAGGTCTTCTGCATTTCACGCATTTATAATACATTTGTGTCTTTCACACCTTACTGGGTAATGCAGTTTTCTTAACTGATTTTTGACAGCATTTCTTAACTAATTCTTGAGCATTTAAAGTATTTTAAAACTGGTAGAAAAACATATTTGATCAAAAGAATTTTTAAATTTCCGAACTTGTACATGAAAACACAATTCAGCTTGATTCAAAATTTCATTTTTATAAAAGTTTGGGTCTTAATTAGTTCTTATAGGAAGGGTACTATACACATAAAAATACAGGGATTTGTAATTTGTTATAGCTTTTATCTTATATCTTTAATTGTAATTTGATACATATAGTCTGAATGACTCAGAAATTCACTGAGGCCAAAATCTTTTCCAGTTTAATGGTTAATATTCCAAGCATGTAATTCAAAACTTTGGAAACTAAATTTTAATTGTTCAGTTATTGGTGCAGAATGAGAAAGTTGACTCAAAAGATCCTTAATTGGGAATACTCATTTTATTTATGGTATTTGTTCTCTATAGCTTTTTAAAATGATCCGAAGCAGTTCAGAAATAAAATGTACAACACAAAGGAATTTAACAATAGAACTGGGCTGGGGATGTAGCTCAGCAACACAGCGCATGAGGTTGTGAGTTCGATTCCTGGTACCAAAAAAAAAAAAAAAATAGAACTGAACAGCTACAATTCAGAAAAGTACATTTTTCTTGAATTGCTTTCTTACATGTTACTTTTGTTGCATGTAGATGCAGCTTTCAATTTCCTGCATCTAAACTAGGCATTCTGGTTGTTGTGATTCTCATGGTTTATTTGAAGAGGCTTTTATTGGTAAGGCATTGAACCCATAGTTTTAAAAATAGTAGGCACATGCCCTCTCCCACTGTACACACTCCCAGCCCTATTTTCTTTTTTAATAAGGGTAAGTATGGAAATTTCTCTGAAAAAAATGAGTTTCTAACTGAATCTGAAACAAATAAGGGATTTATTATAGGCATCCCTTATGTAAAGCATGTAGCATAACATAATTGAAAGTGTTTTTAGTGATGGATTCATAGAAGAAATATCAAATAAACATTTCTTATCCTGGTTTAATCAGTACATTAATAAGAACTTTAGAAAAACATAAAACATCTGTAACTGCAACATAACATTTTCCAAAATATAATTACATATTTTAAAATGGTACAGAGTTACTATAGTATTACTTAATATTACATTATATTACACATTTTCCAATGTTTCTACATAATTCAAACATTGTCATTTAATGATTAAATAATACTCATTTATATAGCTGTTTCTTCATTTTTATACTTTCATGACTTCCACTATTTACGTTTCTTAGCTAATAATGTGGGGTGCCATTTTATATGGGTGTTAGATTCTGCAATGCATATATCAAACAATTTATATGGTCAAAATCACTCACTTGAAAAAAATCCTTTTACTTACTTAGGAATTATTTACTTCTTAGTGAGTCCAGAATAAGTTTTCTGTCCAGCTTTGGATCAAATTGCTGACCCTTGACCTGAAAAATCAGATGAAATATTTGGTTTCTCTAATTTAAGTAGTACGTTGATGAGAATTGTGAAATATGTATAGGGTCTGTATAGTTGATTTTAACGAGTGTAGTAAGATTCATTTTGAGTATCTTGAGGCACTTGAGAGTGTGCGTGAGACAGAGTGAGAGAGAGATCTCTTAATGTAATAAGGAAAGCTCCTCCAGAGTGGGCATGCCTAAAGAGCAAGAACTGTGACTCGGTTCACGGACTTCATTCTTTCCACAATGCTGGTCACTTACTGAGTTGGAAGAGAACCAAATCAAATTCAGTGGTTAGGTTCAATGTTGATCATATGGGAAAACTTGATTAATTTTTTGTCCAGTTCTCTTTGTGACTGGAATCATGGAATTTGAGGTCCCAGTGGTATTTGTAGGAAAGCACCAAGGTCAGCTCTTAGACAGTACAGACTGTTTGTTAATCAAGTATTTATTAAAGAAATTCAGGAATGCCTGTGAGTAAGTCGTTGCTAGTACCAAAAATCAAGGTGCTTTGGATTGTTGCATAAGTATACCAGCCACTCCAGAGGGCACATTTTTTAAAAAAATTTATTTTCTAAGAAACCTAACAAAAGTATACTCAAATTTCTATTAGCTCAGTTGATTTTAAAGAACCTAGTTTAAGCCTGATACTTGGGGTCCTCTTCCTCAAGAATGCCTCACAAACCTTAAAAGGGAATATATATGGCCAAGACAAATCTCCATTTTTGAAAAGAATCATAGTATTTCAATTTTTACTGTATAGGTAATTGGAGAATATGTTCTTATTTTGCTGCTGTGAATTGGTGTAACACTGATGACTCATGACACATGGACTTAGTAAATCTGTAAGATTTGTAAAAAAATTTGCTAGTCACACACATAGATAAGCTTATATGTCTGTAAAGTTTGTATACTGCGTATTACAGATGTTCCTCAACCCATGACAGGTTTACATCTCATTAAACACTAAAACTACAGTATGTCAAAGATGCATTTTAATACACCTGGCCAATGCAACACAATGAATTTAATACCCTAGACAGTAGTAAAGCTGACCCGGGTGCCCTAGCCCAGCATCAGGAGGAAGTAGCCTACCATCTGCTAACCTAGGAAAAGGTTATAACTTAAAGTATGATTACGACTTAAATTGAACCTTTAAGCTGGGGACTGTTGATGCATATACTTGTAAATGATTCCTGGTAGGCCTAGGAATATTTCAGAACTTTTGAAATGTTGCTAATTAATACACATTTGCTTATCTCCACAGTTGTAATTTGTAGGTTTAGTTTACAACTGTTGCCCTTCAAAAATGAGTCTATTAGCCATTTATACTGATCTGTTCCTGTTTTCATTATCTACCTCTCTTACATTCTTTAAAGCCAGTATGTTCACCAACCAGATTCAAAGCTCTTATTCTTGTAGTTCCTTTCAAATAATCCGAAGAGGACCAACATTCTAACCTAGGAATTTGTGAGCTGAGCTTCATAAAACCTGTGAAGTGTTTCCGAACCTTTGGAGGTTAAGATAGAAAAGTTTGGGATTGTGCACTACCTACGCAGAGATAAGCAAGATGAGGTACCTAACGAGGTTTTCAACCGGCAGCTCAGTAATCAACCGGGTCGCTGCAGGTCTACTCTACTACCCCGCTACTCCAAATGACTGGTAAGCGAGCGCTCACGCCCCTCGCCGACTGCTTCCGGGTAACCGCAGAAGTCACTTCCGGAGCAGCATGGCGGCCACTGAGGACGAGCGGCTGGTGGGAAGCGGCGAGGGAGAGCGACTAGACTTCTTGCGGGACCGACACGTGCGGTTTTTCCAGCGTTGCCTTCAGGTCCTGCCAGAGCGCTATTCTTCGCTCGAGACCAGCAGGTAACTCGTGGCCACAGTTAGCGGGGCCCCAGCCCGTTATGAAAGGCGGCGCGGGGCTGCAGGGCTCACTGGGCGCCCCAGGGCATTGCGCCGCCGCCCACCTCTTCCTAAGCCTTCTCTCGGGTCCCGGGCAGTGACAGGCCTGCGGTCACCCGCCTTCCTCAGACCTGGGCGGCAGGGTTTGGAGAGCTGCAGGTCGAAGGCTTTTAGATTGTGCAGTTTCCGCATTCTTCCACTTCCTTACCATTTTCCTGCCTACTCTGAGCTTCCTTCTTACCGTCCTAGCGCACGGGATACTTACTAGTACAGAAGGAAAATGAGAAGGGTTTATAGTTGTATTTTAAATGGCCATTCCCGTGCTTCCCATTTTTCCGTAGTTACTAACCTGTAATTGAAAACCAGTAGGATATTCATGTGTAGGAGCGGCGAAGCGCCTGAGCAGATAGTTACTTTCCAGGAATTGTAAATCATGGTAAGGAAAAGAGACGAAGTGTTGCGTGAAGCAGTCTGTTTTATATTTGCATTACTTTGGTAAAGTTGGAGTTGGCTAAGGAATATGATCTGGCTGAAGCCAAAAACTCTGATTCACAGGAAAAATCTGGTGATGAACAAACGAAAGAAAGAGCTGTTACTTGCTCCGCATTGCTATGCTTTGAAGTGAGGCTCCACAGTTGTGAGACTGGACGGGTAGCTCAAATTGTCTTGCTCTGATGTCTCCCCTGAGTTTAGAAATCCCCTCTGATTTCTAAATTCTGAGCAGGTATATTTTGAACACTGCCCAACTGGGTCAGTTTGGAGAACTACAGATTACTCCTGCACACGCGATCAAGAATATAGTTATTGTGGTAGCTACTGGAATACAGTTGAACAAGTCAAGCAGTTTTGCTAGCGTATTAGCGTCGAACTCTAGTGAAACTGCTTGCTGTCAGCAATATTCCAGTACCTACCACAGTAATATAACTTTAGTATAAGCATAGGATCTACACCAAATATTGCATATTGGAGAACAGGTGTATAACACCTTGGTGCATAGGCAAAGAGATATTACTGTGTTCTTTTTGTGTCTATGCTTGTTACTTGCATGCAGTTTTGAAAATCATTTTGGTTGTCCTATGATTTAGTGACCACACTTAAAAGAACAATGTGTCAGATTCGTTAGGTTCTTTCTCTCTCTCTCTCTTTTTTTTTTTCCTTTTCCGGATTCAGTCTTTACTTTCTTGGTTTAGCATTAGGTCTTTTTTGTTTTGTTTTGTCTTGTTTTTTTTAGTATATGTCATTCATAACTGAGGTTAAAATGCTTGTGAAGCAAAGGAGAGTGGTCACAAAATTTCTAATGATATTAAAGTTCTAAGACAAAACAATGCGTCAACTATGTCACAGTTCTTACCCAGCTTTGCAGTTCACTTCCGCAAGTATTTATTGAATGCCTGCCAGACATCAAGGTACTGGAATACTGTGGTAAATGATTCAGGTATTCTATATTTATTTCTTTTTTGCTCATAAATATGAGATAACTGGCTCTTAAGGCTAATATTAGACTGGATATTTAGACAATAATTTTCTAAAATTTATTGTCTTGGCAAAATTATTCCATTTCCCTGTTTATTTTTTAATAAGAATAAATGATTTTTAGTAGGAATAAATGGGTTATACTTTTTTATTGACAATGGCTTTATAAAAATAATTATTTACTGTTCCATCTTAGTTTTTTCCTTTATATTAACTTGTGAAAAGTGGTAGTTACTAGTTAATTCAAGTGACTGTTAAACCTTAGACTGTGAGCTTTACCAGATAATGGGGTTTCTTTTTAATGAAGATGTAATTTGAAAGTTTTTTTGTGGTTATGATATTGCCATTCTTACTGTGGTAATGAAAATTAGAATAGGCCTTTTTAAATTGAGGAACATTATACTGACCATTTTCTAATACATTATTTTCAGTGATCTAGCTGTTCTGGAAGGGTTGAGGCAATTAGTTTTTATTTTATAAAGCATTTACAATTAACCTAGTCTTTCTGTTCTCATGTCTTTCAATTTTTCCCTGTGTGTCATGTGTGGTACTGCAGTGGTTGCGTGTATTGGTTCCTTACCTTATCTCCAGTACTCAGGGTGATTTTGGGAGATCTTTAATATGACAAATGCACATTCTTGGATTCCCCCCAGATCTGCTGTTTTGGACTCTTCAGGGGGTGTGGGTGTCTGCATCATAACTCGTATTCCTGCCGGGGATATAGCTCAACAGCACAAGTGCCTGCCTGGCAAGTGCAAGGTCCTAAGTTTGATTCCTAGTACCAAACACAAGTAGAAACTGAATAACCAGTATTCTAGAGTTTGAGACTGTTTGCTTGATGGAAATAAATATGCCAATAGATTATTACAACAGTGCTTCCTAACTCTAAGGTACATATTAGTTTTCTGTGACCTTGTTAAAATGCAGACTGAGCTGGGTGTGGTGGTGCATGCCTGCATTCCCAGCACTCTGGGAGCCTGAGGCAGGATGCTCATAGGTTTGAGCCCAGCCCGCACAACTTAGTAATTTAGACATTACCTCAAAATTAAAAATACAAAAAAAAAGGAAAGTAAGGAAAGACCTAGTTCAATCCCCAGTAGATAGAGACAGACAGAGACAGAGACAGAGGGAAGTGGATTTTGAGGAGCAAGTCCAGGTGGTCCAAGATGCTCCAGTACTAACAGGTTCCTGGGAGGTGCTGGCACGGATAGGCCGGGACCGCATGCTGAATGTGCTACATAGTGAACACTGATGTGCATGGAACTTTGTGAAAGCACCTGAATCATCTAGCTCAGCCTGAAAAGGGCTCAAAGAACTCTCTTTGGAAGAAGGAGCCCCAGAACTAAACGTCATTAAAGAGTGTGTTCCACCGGTTCTTGTTTTGGCTTTCGTTTTGTTTACGAATGATCTATACCAGTGATGGCAAACCTTTTAGAGACCAAGTGCCAAACTGCAACCCAGAACCCACTTGTATTTATTGCAGAGTGCCAGCACGGGAGCTAAACCTGAATACTAAGGTTTTAGTTTAGAGAAAAAAAAAAAAAAAAGCAAGCCTACGTTCACATCTTTTATCTTAAATGAAAAGCACAATAATGTGTACCATAAATTCGCCCTGGTCCATGCAAATGACGGTAGATAAATGAAGAGCAGTTATCTAATATAATTCAGAATGTAAAGCGGGTAGAATTGAGTCAGAAGAGATAAGTGTGGGTCAGATCATTGAAGGCCTTGTGTGCTTTGTCAAGAAATTTGAATTTGGTAATATAATATAGCTGATAGAGTCATCAGACAGTGGATCTTAACAGTTCAATGGACATTTCAGAGTGATCATTGTGCTGTGTAAAACAGAACCAGAATCAGGGAGACCAGTTAGGAAGCTATTGCAGCAGTTTGGGAAAAAACAATTGGAGCTGTACAAGTAAGGATAAAAAAGAAAGAAGTCTCAGGTTTCTGGAATTGGAACTACTATTGATAGTAGTAGTTCACCACCTGGTCTGGTGAACAAGAAGACAAAGTTTAGAATGAGTTTAGAAAGGTAGATAGTTTCTCTAATTGTGTTTATTGGATAACCTGCTTAAGGCTAGAAAGCTATATACATGTTTGTGGTGAAATTTCATTCTGTACTGGATGTTCAGTACACTTCTTCTTGAGTAATTATGATAGTAGAAAAGCTATTTTGCATGTTAAATAATTTTAAAATGTGTGACTGTGCTTCAAAAATTTTCACCAGATGAGTCAGACACTGGAAAGTATGAATGAATAGATTCATGCACTATTTTGTTCATTTCAAAGCATTCGTTAACATCTATTCAATAATATTTTAACTTCATGATTAATTCTAATGTGTCATCTAAAAGCTCTCTCTGTACTGATACTGTTAGCAGTATCAATTCTACTGTTTATAGGTATTTTTTCCCATCTTTTTTTTTTTTGTCTTTTTGAGACAGGGTCTTGCTATGTAGTTCAGGCTGGCCTTGAGCTCACTTTGTAGCCCAGTCCACTTTCTGGTCTTGAACTCAAAATGATCCTCCTGCCTTAGCTTCCAGAGGGCTGGGATTACAGGTGTGTGCTACCATGCCTGGCTTTTTCCCATCTTTATAAAAACTAATTTTATTGGTATATTTTAGATATACATAACAACATTCATCACACAGAGTTTGTACCTATACATGATATGTTTTGATTCTTCCTTTTTCCCCTTTCCCTCACCTCTCTTCAAGCCTTCTTCACCTCTTCATTTACAAAGTTTTTTTCCTTTTCTTCCTTTCCCCCTGCTCGCCTCCCTAGATTCCTTTTCCATTTGAATATTTTCTTCCTGTTTCATACTGTTGTACATTTGGCCCTTATTTACTTTTTCAGTTCTCATACCAGAGAAGCCATGCAATACTTGAAAATGTGTGTCTGATTTTTTTTTTTTATTTAAGAGTACGGTTTCAAGGTGCACCCATTTACCTAAAAAGTCTGAAATTTATCCTTCTTTATGGCAGAGTAGTACTCCATTGTATGAAAAACAACACCCATTCATCAGTTGATGAGCATTGTGCCACTATAAACATGGGTGAACAAATATTGCTATAGTATGATGCTTTTACTTCTTTCAGGAAGATACCAAGAAGAATAATAGCTGGGTCAAGTGGAACCTCCTATTTTGGTTTTTTGAGGAATACCCATACTAATTTTCACAGTGGTTGTACCAGTCTACACTCCCACCAACAGTGCAGAAGGGTTCCTTTGTCCCAGCAGCCTACCAGCTTTGTTGATTGATTTCTTGATAATTGCCATTCTTTCTGGAGATGGAATCTCAGTGTTGTTTTAATTTGCATATCTTGAATGACCAGTGATAATGAACATTTTTTCATATATTTATTTGGCATTTCTACATCTTCATCTGAGAAGAGTCTATTTCAGATGCCTTTTTGTGGATTTGGTCTTTAAATTTAGGGAGTCTGATTCTCTCTGTGTATGCTTTATATATACTAGATATTAGTCCT